GCCCCCTTCAAAGACGTACAGTGTCTTATTTTATCTGACAGAGTTGATAGACTGAAGTTAAATTAAAACACCCGACTCCCAGACATGTTGCACAGTAGGAGCATGGCTCTTTATGTAAATGTGATGAGGTATTCTGGGTAGGCCTGGATATCATTGAAGACCACAAACATGGTTGGATAAGCAGCGTCATCTGTGACGCTGTCATACAGGTCTGAGGCACTCCCAGATTTCGGGGGAGGGGTGATCATGCCTTTTTGTCCTTGGGCGTAGTCTCCAACTAGAACTCTGGCCTGGTACATGCGCTTGTGTCCGCTGGTGTCGGGCGTGGCGTAGTTTCCTGCTGAATAGCAAGGGTCCGCAGCAAAGTAAGAGCCGTTGCCGTACATCGCAGCTGCAGACAGAGTGAACAAATTAACTGAATAACTAATTAACTTAAACTAGTGTTGAAATATTCTACCCTTGTATGTGTGTACTGTGTGTGATGGCTTTACCATGTTTTCCTGCGTAGCTGCGGTTGAAGCCTTGTTTGTTGATCAGATGGATGGAGGTGTCAGTGGTGCCGTGAAACAGAAGCAGTTCATTGTTTGTGTGTTTATTCTTCACCTCCATTTGTTTCTTCATGATCTGGTAGTTCTGCCACAGTGACGGATTTTGGACTCGTTCGATCTGCCGACGTAATCCAAACACATCAAGTTGGTGATTTTCATCGAAGTACAATAACTGTCCTTCTTACCTCTGTGTCTGCTCTCTAATGATTGTTGACAAAGTATTTATAATTTATTCAACATTCAAATTCTGCTGGCTTGAAATGATCCGAGGTGGCAAAGTCAAGGCTTCAAACTGGGAATGGAAAACCAATGGGTGATGTCACATGTTTAGGTCCAACACTACAGTTTATGCCAAACCAACTGAAGTTGAAGCTGAGACTTGGGAACTAATTTACTCTCCTTTTGTTTTCAATTATATAAAAATATAGAATACTTCTGTGTACATCAGACAGCCTGGTC